ATTATTCACCTAATACTCTTTATTAAATCTTAAATTAAACAAAAAATTAAAAAATAGAAAGAAAAGAAAAGAAAAAAAGTGAAATATAAACAGTTTTGTCCAAGAGTTTTGGTCCCCACTCAATTTAATGAGAGAAGATTTCTAGAACTAATAACTAATTAATTACACAGTTCCATAGAAGTATTTGAATTATACTGCAGGTACTGATTCTGAGTGGGCTTGTTTATTTCCAAAATGACAAGAATCGTATTGTCTCTGTCTCTCACACATTTAGGTGATAACACAAGTCTAATGTCTCTCGAGCCCATTCACCATCTTCCTCTCTCTCTTCTCCCTCATTCACGCTCTCATATATGTGCCGTGAAGTGTAGTTTAGCCTGCGGCTGGAGTGAGAGGTACGATTAGTATTGATCACAGCTTTTGTCCCTTTCTGAATCTCCCAGAGCAAATATAGACCCCCACCCATTCACAAGCCAACAAGATTATCCCCTCTTTCCTGCCATCTTTTTCCAATGTCTCCTGTGATCAGAAACACTCCGTTTTAAATCACGCAGCCTTAAAATATAAGTAGGCATGCTAGTGCCAACCACAAGTACATGTATCTTTATGATCGTGATCTGGATCATCATGGTTGTGGAGCAAAAGAGAGGATCTCTGCTGGTGTTAGCACCTCTCTGTCTCTGGTTATCACTCCAATCCATCAAAATCACGAAGAGAGCACATTCACACTCATCACATATACTGTATCATCTGCTTCCTCCCCATGAAGAGCGATAGAGAGAATGACTGTGATAATGACCTTTGTTGGAGACTCTTTTCTCAGTAATTGATCTGAACGCCTTCTTTTTTCCACTAGGACAGCTTGAAGTCCTTTCATTATGTTCAGTGCACATATAGAGAGAGAGACATCTGACCTAATGCAGTTCTTTCTTCTATAATTACCACTCTTGCTGGCTCTCTTTCTGTCCTGCTCTTACGAGATTGAAAATTCAAAGCCGCTCTATTGGTGTGATAAACAGAACTATACGTTGGCCATGCATTAGTAATCACTGCAAATACACACACACACAATAGAGAAATAAAATGACAACAACTTTGAATATAGCCAGCAGAAAAAACAATCCGCACACGGTTATATGCAGGGCTGAAACCTCCTCAAAAAATCTGTTGTAATGCTTAATCAGAGGCCGTAAAAAAGTGAAAAGTGCAAAAGTAAAAATTGCAGCAAAACGTTTTCGAGAATATTGGATATATCTTGATATTGGATATTGGAATATTGGATCATATCTTGATATTGGACATCTGGCCAAGGTTATTATAGTTTTGAATTTTTTAATTAGTTTTATTTTAATATCGTTTTCAAATTTGCTATACAATTCAGTTTAGTTTTTATTTGTTTCATTAATATTGTTGTTAGTTTTAGTTTAGTTTTTATTTTGTGAATGCATTTTTATTTAGTTTTTATATAGTTTAGTTTCAGTTTTAATTAAAGTTTAGCAGAATTAACAGATCACTTCCAGAGAGCAGGCCAAAGAAAGACTTGGGCATAAAAGGCAATAAGGCATAATTTAGCCTTAGTGATGCAAATGTCTAGCGACACTAAATTAACGCATACTGAGATTGATTAAATGGTAAAAGTATACAAATATACGCCAGAATGAATCAGGCAAGCCTTTTTTACTAAATAAATCTACACAAGTTGTGCTTAATGTCATCTAATGATGTGTATTGAGATATTTAATATGACAATAAATGTAGCCTAATTTGGTTATGACGGTTAGATGTCTTTTTTCTTTTTTTTAACAATCATAATATACTGTAACGGTCGTGTCTTGCTCACTTTTCTGTGAACAACTGCGTATAAATCATAACTGGGACTAATGAAATTCAATAATAACGGCAATCACATTTAACAGTAGGCTAAAGGCTCATATCTGAATGTTCTTTTCATTTATTAAGAATTATAAGCGTGTTTATGATGTGATTTAGCCTATGCACATTTGTCCGAAAGCCTAGCAGAGTGATCACAAGATGCTATGCTCAAGTTTTGTGTTGTTTTCAGAAAGGATGCACGTTCTCAACTTTTTTTCTGTTAATTATGACGTTAATTACTTTTAATACTGGTAATTTCAAACAATAAAGTTATAAAACAATAATTAAAAAAACAATATTTACATATAATGTGCACACAGAATACATTTGACCTCAAAATCTAGTAAGGCCTACTCACACCAAGTCTGTTTTTCCCTCATGCAGTCTGCATGACAACTTTCATTTTACATCTTTTTGAATTCCTGCCTGCCAAGTCAAAAATATTGTGCTGTGATTGTGCTAAAATATCGATCTGTTCTTTTTTTTATTTTTTTTTAATAATTCATGTATTCATACTTGTGGCAAGATTGACTACAATTTGACGATGGGCTCTCTGTGAGGTCTGATTACAAAAAACTGTTTGTGAACATTTCGTCTTTTTGAGTCATTCAGTCGTTCCAGGTTCTTTCTCTTTCCCTCTCTCTGCACTTGATGTCATTCTGGCTTTGAGTGGCCATATTTTCGCTCTGCTGTTTTCTGTGACGGTAGCGTGATAAGATGGGAAATGCTGCTGGGGGCCTCTGGAAGACTCCACTTGTCTCCCTCAGAGCAGACACGTGTCGCTACACACAAATCAGTGTCTGGATCAAGCCGCCATTTTGGCTCGGCGAGCGGCTGTTCCTCTCTAAACTCTCTAATCCCTCAGGCCCAGGCAGCATCGCCACCATTTGTTCCTTTTATCGCTCCACAAGCACCAAATCGACAGGGCAAAGAATGGTTTCTATAGCGACGCTAGACCCAAGATAATTTAACCAACAGGGTTGCTTGGGGAGATGATCTCGACTGATGGGTTTAGGCTGATAGAGTGTGTTTGTGTGGACACCAGAATCTGCTTTCAGTCTATGTTTGCTTCTAATATACTGTGTTGTGTTCTTTCAATCTGCTTCTGAAGTATGCATTGTGGCTAGCAGGTCCATTTTTTCAAGTTAGAGACAGATACACTTGTAAACTATTTCTCCTTTTTTCCCACTCGCTCTCCAGAGTGCTTTCCACCTGCCGGTTGTTTGTCAGATTGAAGCTATTTTCTCTCTCTCTCTTTTTGCCTTGCATGCATTAGAGTACATCTTCTACCGAAATGGTCCTACAGTTGTAGTTAGAGTGAATATGTGCTCTTGCACTTGTGCGGACTGTGGTTGAGTGAGCGTGTGAGTAGGTGTGTGTGTAGGAGGCGAGCTACAGCTCTATTAGCTTGTCTTGCACCTCAGCTTGTGCTCGGCTAGCTGAGTCCTCTTTGTTTTGTGGATGCTGTCACTCATATGTGTGTGCGTGTGGTTTCCCTACTACTACAAACCCTCATCCAAATAGCATTGAACCCCAGTTTGAAAACCCCTGGTGTGTAGGGACCCTCAGAGGGCCACAAAGATGGCAGGGGGTCCGTGGAAGACTTGAGACAACTGGAGAGGGCTTTTCAAACTGTATTTAATGTATTTGCTCAATTTTTTATTAAATGTTTAACACAAAAATTTAACACACTGCTTTGAAATTATATTGATTGTAAAATGTTCTGTAAAAAAAATTTACTTTTTTTTTTTCTTTTAAGAAATTAATACTTTTTTTCAGCAAGGATGCATTAAATCAGTCAAAAGTGACAATAAAAACATTTATCATTTAGATACTTTCTATTTCAAATAAAGGCTGTTCTTTTGAACTTTCTGTTCATCAAGAATCCTGAAAAACATGATACAGTTTTCACAAAAATATTAAACAGCACAACTGTTTTCAACATTGACGATAATAAGAATGATTAAATAAATTATTATTATTATTATTATTAAATTATTTGAGCAGCAAATCAACATATTATTGATGATGATTTCTGAAGGATTATGTGATGCCGAGGACTGAAAATTCAGCTTTGCTAACAAAGGAATACATTACATTAAAAATATATTAATATAGGAAACCATAATTTTCATTTAAAATTATATATTTTTTTCGTACTGTATTTTTGGTCAAATAAATGCAGCATTTATGAGCATAACTAATAGTGGGTAGAGAAAAATATATTAATTGTGTGTGTGTACACAGTGTAAATGGGTCTTCATGAACATATACTGCATTGCTGCCTTTATATTATAGAAAAGGGGATCATCATTTTTGGGGGGTTTTGGCATCAGAATGAAAACTCTTACACCATGAGGGCGACATGGTCTATAAAACATTGTATACTTCACTACTAGAGCAAGAGTACAAAAGATAATTCTTGTTTTGTTTTATATTGGCTAAGGATCTGTTCCTGGTCAGTGAGACTCGCTCTACATTTTCCATCAGATTGCATCCAGAATTCCAGTACTGCTATTATGTGCCAAAGGGAAGTTATTAGGAGACCCTTGTTCTCTCTCTCTCTCTCTCTCTCTCTCTCTCTCTCTCTCTCTTCCTCTCTTTTTTTTTCTTTTTTTCTCTCTCTCTCTCTCTCTCTCTCTTTCTTCTCTCTTATGCATAAAAAAATTTTCAAAGTATCTTCTTTTGTGTTCCACAGAAGAAAGAAAGTCATACCAGTTTGAATCAACATGAGCATGAGTAAATGATGACAGAATTTATTTATTTTGGTTACCTACCCCTTTAAAGCAATCGTAGCCTGTAAAATATGTTAGTATGCAGGTTTCTGCATTAGTTTGTTGAGGTTGCTTTAAAGCTCATGAGGATCTGAGCAAGAACCCTTCATATGCTGAGATCTTTTATTATAACAAGCCTTATTTATGGATGACACTAATGGCAGCAATTTTTTCTGTTTTCTCCTCTTTCATCTTCTCCTCCCCCTCCCTCACCTGTTCATGTCCTGTTTCATACCTTACTCTTCCCTCCCCCTCACACTCGGCTGTTCTCTCTTTCACCTCACTCCTCCACCCTCAATCCCACTCTCTCCCTCCTACAATTCCTCTTCACACATCCTCTCTCTCTCTCTGCAGCGGGGCAGCTCAGCCAGTCGGCTCATCTCGCGCTCCAGCTGCCCTACACCGTGCTCGGTCTGGGGCGCAGCGCCAACTTCCTGGATCACCTGTTTGTGGGCATCCCCCGGCCCCCTGGAGGGAAGGTACAGACATACCTACTCCCACATGCTCACAGACACTCGCCATATGGAGGGAGGAGGGAGGAATCATGGGTAGAAAGGCCCCGGGAGAGGAAGAGCATACAGATGGCCTGGTTTACTTCTATCTGCTCTTTTTCTGTGTCTGAAAACGGAAACATTGTGTCTGACACTATATATTATAGTATGTCAGACCCAATGTTTCCTTTATGTGACCCTGGACCACAAAACCAGTCATAAGGGTCAATTTTTCGAAATTGAGATTTATACATCATCTCAAAGCTGAATAAATAAGCTTTCCATTGATGTATGGAACATGTTTGTTTGGATAGGACAATATTTGGCCGAGATACAACTATTTGAAAATCTGGAATCTGAGGCTGCAAAAAATCTAAATATTGAGAAAATCGCCTTTAAAGTTGTCCAAATGAAGTTCTTAGCAATGCATATTACTAATCAAAAATGAAGTTTTAATATATTTATAGTAGGAAATTTACAAAATATCTGCATGGAACATGATCTTTATTTAATATCCTAATGATTTTTGGCATTAAAAAAATCTATAATTTTGACCCATACAATGTATTTTTGGCTACAAATATACCCCAGTGATTTAAGACTGGTTTTGTGGTCCAGGGTCACATATAGGAATATATATGGTAACACTTTAGTATAGCGACCAACTCTCACTATAACTAGTCGCTTATTAGCATGTCTATTATTAACATATTGGCTGTTTATTAGTACTTATAAAGCACATATTCTGCATGACCTGATTCTACATCCCTAATCCTACCCAATACCAAAACTTAACAACTACCTTACTAACTATTAATAAGCAGCAAATTAGGAGTTTATTGAGGCGTCTATTGAGGAGTTAATGGCGAGAATTGGACCTTAAAATAAAGTGTGACTAATATATATCCTACATTATATATGTATATATATGTATATATATATATATATATATATATATATTTCTTGTTTATTGACGATTATAGAGATGTATAGCCAAGATAGTGCTTACATCTCTCTATCATTTCCAGGTTTTCAAATTATCGTGGTGTTTTTTTTTTTTTCCTGTCGTCCCTGTCTGGTTTTAGATTTGAAATCTCTCCCTCCCTCCTCTTCCTCTAGAATTCCCCAAGTGCTGTTCATTTAAATTTAAGACGTCAGCTTCCTCTGCTGTCAGTGAGCTAAACAGAGGTCTTTATCAAATAGTGATTAGAATTGCAGATTTGATTTACCAACACACTCACACATGAATACATGCACATGCATGCACATTCACAATAACACAAAACTTGCGCATGAGCAACCCTTGCGTACAGCAATTTGCTTTGTTGTGTTTTTAATAGGGCTGGCGATATAACACATTCATTCAGTACAATTAATTATTTGTAAAAATAACACAAAAATGGCATGTTTAATTGTGCCTTCTGACCCATATGCTACTACAGCCAAAACAACTCGCCAAGCCACAATTACTGAGAACTGTTCACACAGTTTGCATTAACAAACAGCTGCATGAAGCATAGAACATAATGAAATTGAACACAGGAGTCTTGAGGCATGCTTTTTAAAAGTTGAACTGTTTTTAACCTTACAAGGTGTCTTTAAAATTCAGTGCTTATGATGCAAGACACTGGAAAAACAAGACACAACACAATGGCTGAAAAATTTTCTTCTAGCATTTGGAAATAGTACGATATAAAGATTTTTAAAGGTGCTTTTTTTTCGATTTTTGTTCTTCTGCTACACTAATTATCTTGATTTGAGGGCTTTTCTCAGCAAATATTGATATATGTGATTAATTGCATATTCATTACAGTTTTTAATTGACCTAAAGTAGGTTTTTTTGTATCCTAGAGAATGAGAGACTTTGCCAGAGAATTTCCTCACAAAGGCTTTGCATATGAGGTTGTTTTTCTGACACAGATGAATGTTTATATACAGCATACCTACAGTTCCTGCTGACAGCTCCGGTTTGGGCTCTGAACTCTCAGAGCTCGTGTGGAGAAGGGAAAGTGGCTCAGCCTTCTCTATCGTTTTCATATCTCTAATCTCTCAACAACACAAGTTACCACGTCAGAAGAACATTGTGGAAAAACACATGGCTCAATATTGCAGAATCAGAGCTTCATTTTATTACATGTTGAACTTGAAAAATTTGGTTGACACTTGGGTAACAGTGTCCTTGTTACACGTAACATGTACTAATAACAGTAAATTATGCGTTACTAACCCTAAACTAAACCCTAACCCTAGAGTAAGTACATGTTGTTAATTAATATTACTCAGTGTTTATTTGTGTAATTACACTGTAACAAGTAAACCAAAATTAACTTGAAGTAATTAGTGCATAAATCTTGCAGTCAGCACAAGCAATGAAATGTTTGTTTTTCCCACATATTAGACAGGTGCACTCTTAAATTACATTATCATCTCATCTCTTTACATTTGCAATATCCTCCATCTATTTTTATAAAAAAGCCCCATTGCGTTCTCTCTGTTGCATAATCGTAAGGCCAGGGCCTGTCGGTTACTGTAACTCTTAAATGTGTGGGCTTGAGCTGCCCTCCCTCTTTAATGCTCAGAGCAGCAGTAGAGGCTCTTTGACTGTAACAAATCTTTGTCTTTCAGTCAGTGCCCACGGTTGACCTCTGCAGTAAGCACAGCCTCGACTCCCCACAGGGAGACCGAATACCACCCCATCCCTTCCAATTGCAAGCCTCATCCATACTCACTAAAGACACATGCTAAAAATATCTAGTTCAGACCCCACACTCTTCCTCAACCATGCGTGTTCACGCGCATACCATAATGTTGAGTTATGATAAATGTTGTCGGAAATTAAAATCTGTACCCCTGGAGGATTCCCTCAAAAAGACGGATTTAACGTTTGCTACTAATTGCTGTCGAGAAACAAGTTGAAAAGGGAAAATTACCTTTGTAATTGATAGAGGTACTGTCTTCATAATACATTAAAGCTTACAGAAATGTCCCTTCCTCTAATGAACTTTTTTGCAAATAGCTGGGGGAATAGACGACTGTTGATGCTGCTTCATATTTGGAGGCTTATTAACGGCATGATGCACTGAAAATGATGCCGGTTTCTCCTGCTGAAAGACTTATGATTTCAACACAAATGGAAAAGGCTGTTTTCATTGGATCTCCCATGTTGGTTCTGTCAGTGCTTAATTGTTATTAGTATCGCTCTAAGAGCAGAGTAAATATTTGACAAATTAGCAATTCGGTTGGCCTGCGTAGAGTATTTGATGTGAACATCATACATGGGGTTAGCGGCTGAAGAATTTGATTGGGTTGTAGCCAGTTTGAGCTAACAGAGTTGAACTTCACAGATATTTTTAGAACTTGTTTTGTGTAGCTTTGATCACCTGCCTGCAAATGGCTTCCCACCTACTCATCTGCACTTTAAAGTGATGCTGAATTCTCTGATTGGACTTGCTCTCTTCAGTAATAGCACTGAAGCTTCACTTCACGCTGAGAATATCAGCACCTGAAGCGTGGCTCTCCCTCTAGCTTGTAAAAGTTTAGTTAAACAGCCTAAATGTGGGCTAAATTGGGTGACGAGGGATGTTGGAACATTGTATCAGCCATTATGTATTTAAAGCTGCAGTCCTTAACTTTTTTTGGTTAAAAATGATCCGAAATCAATATTTGAGCAAGTGCATAACCAGCCAGTGTTCAAAACTGTCGCCTTACTTTAGTCCGATTCACAATGGTAATCTTATAATAATGTTTTCTAATTTGAGTGGTACGGGTAGGTTTTCACGGGAAATTCGAGCATGACACTGCGTCATCACGTCACGTCTGTAAACATAAAGAAGTTGTCTACTAGGCTATCGCATGTGAGGATCCTCCAGGTGGCCGATCGTTTATAGCCTTTTCTCACAGCAGCCAGAATAATTAAATGTATCATTTTGATGGCGGATTGCAATCCATGAAGGACTATGAAACACATGTGACTGAAATTAAATTATTCCCGTTTTAAATGTGCATCTGATTACAGAAAGCCTGAGATTACACAAGATTTGTATTTAAAGAAAACCAGTTCGAAGGAAGAATAATTTGCTTTTTGGGTTAAAAGAATGTCTTTATATGAAATTTGAATGGTATGACACACTACATACACATAGTCACGCAATGCTGATGTTGTTAACATTAACAATTTGAGAACAAAGTATAACAATAATAATAATTTGCATGGTCTGATGTGATATGAGCTAATCGAACGTTAGATTTAATCACCATTGGTAGCGCGATTTATTGTAATACTTTTTTCCTCAGTTGGTCAGAACAAAAGTGGCTTGTTACTTGTTCTGATGACAATATCCGGTGAAAATTCTTATTTGGGTCACATTCCACACTAGAGCCGTGCCGGCGCACAACCCACGCAATGAAAATAATTCTGCAAGTAACTGCAGTTGCAGGTTTCAAACAGAGATGGCGACAAAGAGGCCAAACATACAGACTGCAGCTTTAATGATGACTAAAGATAGGCATGTGTTAAACATGACCTCTTCTCCGTTAAGACCCCTCACTTCAATAATGTCCAATTATACAATAATACAATCTTTTGCAAATCCCCCCCGTCTTCCACAGAGGCACATCAGCTCTAGTGCATGTTTGCCAAAGGACAGCTGCAGAAATTGAATGTGCTGTAATTTCCATAATGGCAATTGTACTAATATTCTTTGCGCTCGCTCTCTCTCTTCCATCATATTCTTTCTCCTGCAGGACGTGAGGAAACAGGAATGGACCGCTATCATTCCTAACTCCCAGCTCATCGTTATACCATACCCACAGAATGACCCTAGCAGGTACACACACACACACTGGGTTTTGTGTTTTATAAGGACTTTCCGTAGACACGATTTTTATACTGTACAGACTTTACATTCTATCCTCTAACCATAAAACCATTACAGAAAACAATCTTGTTTTTACATTTAAAAAAATTATTATAATAATAATACTAATCATTTAGTATGATGATGATGCTCATAATTTTGTCCCCACAACATGAAAAATTTAGGTTTTGCTATTCTTGTAGGGACATTTGGTCTCCACAATGCAGGTAATACCTGGACCACACACATTCTTAAGTAGGAAATCTGTATTCAAGATCCGAAATTAACTTTTATTTATGGAAAAATTTACTAGGCAGTTATATAAACAATACTGTAAGCATGGTTAAAAGTAACTATTGATTAACAATTAATCATTTTTTACATTATATTTATCTTTTTTTATTATGTTATATATGATGATATATATTATGAATAAATAATCATATTTTTGTCAATATACTAATTACTATTACTTTTTTCCTATAAATGTAAGGGGCTGTTATTATAAAAAAAGAACAAATTTACATTTTACAATAAATAAATTTTTTTCCACAATGTTTCTGTGTACACTTTACTAATAGTTCCTACATTCACTAATATCCAGTAGAGATGCAAACTCACAGCCAGTTAGAGAGAATAAACTTAAAAGCGTAATAAACTTGTTCAAGTAATTAAAAGCAGTGTCACACTGTCACTGCATCCGTCACTAGCCTTAATCAAGACCATGAGAAGGTATTTCCTCATGCATTAATATTTAATGTGTTTACCAGCACAGCCAAAATGTATCTTAATGAAGCTGTTCACCAATCTTTATCATAAATATTTGAGCAGATCACTTGATTTCCTGCTATTCCCCACAGACCCCGTTCGGGCTCCTTCAGCTGCCTTTTTGCTTTCAAACAACTCGCAATGATAAACAGAGCATCTCTCGTTCCATTCTCTCCAGTAAATGGAGAGCGTTCCACCTCTCGCGCTGTCTGTCTGTTATTTAAAGCGGCTCATCTTGATGTCCTGATGTTTCGGCTTGTCAGAGAATGCGTCAGGACTGATTATATTTAGCTTTCTCAGGTTCTTTGAATCATCGCGCAAGAAGGTACACAGAGCTAATATGAGTTTTCTTCAGTGCTGTAAACTCCACATGTCACTGTTTTGATGATCTACACAGGTTTCGCTCGGTGTAATGTCTTTATGTGCTGTCTCACATCGTTTCCGAGTTTTGAATGATGTTTGAAGTTTTAAAGATGGTGCTCTGAAAAGTTTTCTTTTGTCTTTCTGTCTTGTGTTTTTCTAGCTGGAGTGCAAAGCTCTACCTAACCCCCAGTAATATAGTCTTATTGACAGCGATAGCACTGATTGGCGTGTGCGTCTTTATTCTCGTCATCATCGGGATACTACACTGGCAGGAGAAGGTGAGAACGAACATCTCATCCTTTTATTTTCAGCCTCTCTGACTCTGATCTGAGCCTGATTGCACATCACTCGCTCCTACTGTGGATGTGCTTGAAACACTCCAGCATCTGCGAAGGATTGTGGCCTCACACAGACTCATCCCTTGGTCTTTGTTCTGCACATGTGTGTGAAGATGAGCAGATGGGTGTGTCTGTGTGTGGCCCTGCCCTCCGGCTCTCTCCGAGGGTGCTCCACACGCACTGCTATGCCGCTAATTGCTTTGTTCTGTCCTTTCAGCATATCAAATCTGTTCCTCACTATCCCATACAACATGTCCTCCAGGGTGTTATGTGTGAGTTTGTGCACGTGAACGCGGGAGTTTTTGTCTTTGTGTGTGGGAAGGTGATTGTTTGTTTTCTTGTACGTTATGTGTACCTCTGAATGTGTGAATTTGTGCCTTTTAAACACTCAGGATGGGTCACAACAGTTGGCTAATCAACTAGTTGTCCCACAACTGATTTGTGTGGATGATGAGTTGATCTAAAATGTAATTAGCGTGCCGCACTGGACTTTTAGCTGTTAGACAGTTTGCATGGTGTAACTCTTTCAGAAAAGTTACAGCTGTACACATTCAGACAGATATTTTTGACTATTGCGTCACATCCCATGCTGTTTTATAGACGGCATATCAAGTTTAAAATAGACCAACTTTTAAAGACCACTGCATTCTGTTCTAATCCGTTTTTAAGTGTTTTTGAATGCAGGAACATCTTATGTAACATTCCCCAAGAAACGTCCAATTGGGGTAAACATGAAACCATCTTTCCTTAAGACAAATTAGCCGACTAGTCTAGACTAGTTTAGAGTTGGTTTAAAAATAGCTCTAGAATTTCCCTGCTGAAAAAAAACATGCTTAGCTGGTTTAAGATCAGCCTAGCCAAGCTGGTGTTCAGTTGGGGTTTCCGGTCCCACTTTATATTAGGCAGCCTTAACTGCTATGTACTTGCATCAAAAAATAAGTACAATGTACTTATTGTGTTCATATTGTAATGCAGAACACTTCTGCTGCTATTGAAGTGGGATACTGGTAAGGTTAGGGACAGGTTTGGTGGTATGGGTGGGTTAAGATGAAAGAGACCGTGTAGTTATAAATGTAATTACAGAAATTTATTACAGATGTAATTACATGCAGGTATTTTTATATTTTCAAGTACAATATAAAAACCTGGCCATTATGTACACAATAAGTGCATTGTATCAAATTATTAATTTAAATGTAAGTACATAGTATTTGAGGCCACCTAATATAAAGTGGGAAAAGGTTTCCCAGACTGACCAGCAGAAAAATGCCAAAACCCCCTCTAAAACAGTGCTTCTCAATGTTATTAACTCCATGTGGACTTTGTACATTTTCATTGCAGAGTAACTTCTTATATATCCAAATATTAAAGGGTTAGTTCACCCAAAAATGAAAGTTCTGTCATTAATTACTCACCCTCATGTCGTTCCAAACCCGTAAGTCCTGGTAAATTAAGATATTTTTGATGCATTCTGAGAGCTCTCTGACCCTCCCATAGACAGCAAGGGTACTACCACGATCAACGTCCAGAAACGTAGTAAGGAAATTGGTAAAATAATCCATGTGACATCAGGGGTTCAACCGTAATATTATGAAGCTACGAGAATACTTTTTATCCGCAAAAGAAAAAAGAAAAAAAACTTTATTCAACAATTCGTCTCGTCCGTGTCACCCTGTAGCGCCATTTTGGAGAGTATCCACTGGACGTAAACAACATATGATGTTCTGTGTCAGCTGCGTCATGCGGATATGTTTTCTATGTTGTTTGTGCTTTGATTTGAATGAAAACAACATATCCATGTGGTGCGGCTGACACAGAACAACATACGCTGTTTGCGTTCAGTGGATACTCTCCAAAATGGCGCTAGGGTGAAGCGGAGGAGACGAATGGTTGAATAAAGTTTGTTTTTTTTCTTTTGCGCACAAAAAGTATTCTCATAGCTTCATAATATTACGGTTGAACCCCTGATGTCACATGGATTATTTTACCAATCTCCTTGCTACGTTTCTGGACGTTGATCGTGGTAGTACCCTTGCTGTCTATGGGAGGGCCAGAGAGCTCTCAGAATGCATCAAAAATATCATAATTTGTGTTCCGAAGATGAACGGAGGTCTTACGGGTTTGGAATGACATGAGGGTGAGTAATTAATGACAGAATTTTTATTTTTGGGTGAACTAACCCTTTAAGAACAGTTTGAATCTCCATTTTGTTGCCCCTTTAAGGCTTGTTTTGTCTTATTTTGAGCAATTTTAAGTACTCTTGAGTAAGTAATCCTAGTGGGCCCTGGCTCCCTGGTTGAGAACCAGTTTTCTAAAACCATCCAAAAGACCAAACTAAAAGACCAGCTAAGATCAGAACCAGATTAGGTTGATTTTAACTAGATTTTCTCTCTTCTGAATATATTCCTTTTTTTGTTACCAAAAGGTTTTTATAATTTGTGTTGTTTCTTATCAGTGCAAAGTTGTCACAAAACTAAGGATTTATGTTCATATTGCCCAAAAACCTTGCCTAGGGAGTTTGGAGGGTCCTGTAGATCTACAAATGTATACCACATGATACTTTGACACAGGATGCATGTTAGAAAACATAAAAAACAGAAGTAAATTAAAAAATAATGATATACTGTGAAGACTTGCAAATATTTGTTAAATAGCAACATTTCTTTCATTATTTTCACTCTGTCCCGTGTGCAGGGTATTTAGTGGGACACCTTTTTTGTCTTTTTATTCTTTTAAGAGCACCTGTTTGTGTTCATGTATTCAACGGTGTTATGCCGGTCCTGGCAGTGCTTTGAGTGCGCATGTGTACGAGGAGTGAAGAGCTGTTCTTGTGTTGGCGTCCTCTCAAAGCCATCTGCTGTGGGTGCCTGATTATGCGCACTGAAAACCATAATTGCTCTCTGCTCGGGGAAGCGCTTCCCACTACACGACCTTCATTTGAGTTGACACTGCATTAAAATAACATGCTGGCTCCATATCTCTCTTCCTCAGCCCTGCAATTATATATTTGACAAAAGGGACGAGAAAGGCTGAAGAAAGGCCTAGAGAGGGAGTATTTTGGCTCTTTGTCTTGTCTTGATGACTGCTTGATGGAGCATGGGCTTTCCTGATGCACATGTTCAGGTGACGATTAGCATTGCTCACTTATTCAGCTATTAAAAGGTCAGGAAGCAGCCCGTTTTCCTCCGACTGTCTGAGAGGAGCTCTGCAGCCCGGTTTTTCTCTGCACAAACTGACGCTGTGAGCTGTGTAGGCTGCAGGTGGTCTATTATCGCATGTTGCTACATTACCAGACTGTAACACATTATCACTCGCTTTTTCTGCGACTCTCTCCATTTATTGCAGCTTCTCGTGCTCCAAATATAGCACAGCTCCCCAAACATGCCCTGCTTCTAGTCATAGAGCTGCATTTGTGTAAATGTTTTTGCATGGAATTTCAGAACAAGAATGAGCGGATTGTCATTGTGTCCTGTTGTGCAGATTGACTTCAATATGTGACCCCTCATAAAAATGCATGTTCTCTTCGGACACGGCTTAAAACATCAGATATACAAAGCGTTTTTCTCTCTCTCTTTTTGTCTCTGCCCTCCATCTTCATTGCCCCCCATGACAGCTTGTAATTGAAGTGGCTTTAGTAGATAAGAGAGGGCAACCTGTAGTGCCTGTGAAAATAGCATTTGGAGAGGACTCAGCAGATCGCTCCATTTCTGTGGCCCGTTCCATTTGCATCCCTGTGGGAGGGGCGCGATATTAGAGGAGGATAAGACGCAGTATTTCCTTTTTGCCTCCGGCTCCTCTCTTCATCCTGCTCAATGTCGCGGGAAAGACACAAATAGATGAGGTACTGAGGTGTTCTGTATCATTTGCATGTCTGCATGGAGCAGAAACACACCTTGTCTTCCTGCATGCAGATGTCCTCGCTTAAAGAATTGCCTGAAGACATGTGTTAAGACATGATGACAAGAAAAATTTTCTGTTTTTGGTTTTGTTCTTTTTTTTTTATTATTGAATTTTTGGGTTATAATGACAAAAGGAGCTACACCATTTCAATTACTCAAAAAGAACGAGAAGCATACAGTTGCATCATGTGTTTCCTTTAGAAATTGGTTGATACTGGGTATTTAATTATGCTTTTTTTAGTACAAAAAAAGACTAAATTTCATTTATCAGTAAATTAAAATCAAATAAGCATTGACTTTTTGGAATTTTAAAGTTGCGACTGAAAACAGAAGTAGCGATAAATCTTATTTTTTCCATATTTTGACATACAGTGGTGTGGAAAAAGTGTTGGCCTCCTTCCTGATTTCTTATTTTTTTGTATGTTTGTCACACTTTAATGTTTCAGATCAAACTAATTTAAATATTAGTAAAAGATAACACAAGTGAACACAACATGCAGTTTTTAAATGAAGGTTTTTATTATTATGGGAAAACAAAATCCAAAACTACATGGCCCTGTGTGAAAAAGTGTTTGCCCCCTAAACCTAATAACTGGTTGGGCCACCCTTAGCAGCAACAACTGCAATCAAGCGTTTGCGATAACTTGCAATGAGTCTGTTACAGCGCTGTGGAGGAATTTTGGTCCACTCATCTATGCAGAATTGTTATAATTCAGCCACATTGGAGGGTTTTCGAGCATGAACCGCCTTTTTAAGGTCATGCCACAGCATCTCAATAGGATTCAGATCAGGACTTTCACTAGGCCA